ATGCCCCCCACCCCCCCCATGGTACAAGGAGGAAAACACAAGGGCAGCTTCTTTTCTGGTAAATTCCAGCCCTCTCTCTTCCCCACTTCCCACAAAGAGAAAAGTCTGATCTGTACCACTGAGGTAGCCTCCCAAATTCATCCTGCAAATCCGTATGTTGTCACTCCATGTTGTGTGCTCTGTCTCCAGTCACTAAGCATCTGCTGTGCAATCCAAAATATCTGCAAGGAGGAAAACACAAGGGCAGCTTCTTTTCTGGTAAATTCCAGCCCTCTCTCTTCCCCACTTCCCACAAAGAGAAAAGTCTGATCTGTACCACTGAGGTAGCCTCCCAAATTCATCCTGCAAATCCGTATGTTGTCACTCCATGTTGTGTGCTCTGTCTCCAGTCACTAAGCATCTGCTGTGCAATCCAAAATATCTGGCTCTATCAACCGGAGATCATGTTAGACACTAATGACAGGTCAACACTACCACTTAAGTTGACCTAACTTACATTGCTCAGGCTATGTAAAAAACTCCCTGAGCAATGCAAATTACAGCAACTTAAGTAGAGCCCACACCAGTGTATGTCAGTGGGAGAACATCTTCACCAGACACACCACAGTGGCAGAGCTGCACCAATGTAGCACTTCTAGTGTAGACTTATCCTCAGTGCACTGGCCTTGGCACCTTGCAGTGAATGCTGAATTATGTGTTTTGCTAATTGCGGTGATCTCCGTTTCTCAAAAAAGATCTGCAAAATGTTTACATCATGACTAGCCTCTTGGAGCTAGCTGACTATACTGATCTTTGACTAAGTGCCGATACCTTTTGCATTTGGTTTATTTTAAAGGTACTCGCCCACCAAAAGTGACCAATACAAAATTTGGTTTGCCATCAACACCAGCTTTCAACACAGTTTTAGGTCTGAGTGAAGTGAGGCATACGGCAATCAGCTGGCATTGTGGAGTTCTCCACCTCGGTAATATTGAGCCCTGGTACAGAGTACACTCATTGCCTGTAATTCCACTGCTTGTGGGATATGGAAGCAACACAGTGAGCAGGGGAAAGAAGATCAATCGGTGCAACCACAAATCGTAAGCCCTTCCACAATTGGATTTAAAACCACTTGCAGCAATCTGAAATAATCAAGACGTGGGCTTGTTGGAGAAACAGTGAAATGCACTTGGCACAGTTTAGAGATTATGCTCTAATTCATAAGAATATAGGAACGGCCATACTGGGTCAGACCAGAGGTCCATCTAGCCCAGCATCCTGTCTACGGACAGTGGCCAGCACCAGATGCCCCACAGGGAGGAAACACAACAGGTAATCCTCATGTGATCCCTCCCGTCACCTATTTCCAGACAAACGTAGGCTAAGGACACCATTCCTACCTGTCCTGGCTACTAAGTATTGATAGACCTAACCTCTATGAATCTATTTTTTTAAACCCTGTTAAAGTCCTAGTCTTCACCACATCCTCTGGCAAGGAGTTCCATAGGTTGACTCTGCGCTGAGTAAAGAAAAACTTCCTTTTATTTGTTTTAAACCTGCTGCCTATTAATTTCATTTGGTGACCCCTTGTTCTTATATTGTGGGAATAAATAAATAACTTTTCCTTATTCACTTTTTCCACACCAGTCATGGTTTTATAGACCTCTATCATATCCCCCCTTAGTCTCCTCTTTTCTAAGCTAAATCCTCACTGTCTTTTTAATTTCTCTTCATATGGGTCCTGTTCCAAACCCCTCACAATTTATGTTGCCCTTTTCTGAACCTTTTCCAAGGCCAAAATATCTTTTTTGAGATGAAGCGACCACATCTGTACACAGTATTCAAGATATGGGCGTCCCATGGTTTTATATAGAGGCAGTAAGATACTCTGTCTTATTCTCTATCCCTTTTTAATGACGCCTAACATTCTATTTGCTTTTTTGACTGCTGCTGCACACTGAGTGGATGTTTTCAGAGAACTATCCACAGTGACTCCAAGATCTTTATCTTGAGTAGCTGTAGCCAAATTAGTCCCCGTCATATTGTATTAATTCAATAACTGACTTCAGTAAATAGACTAAGATCTACTGTACCATGATTTCAGATGCATCCCTGGCAGCTGAGCCTGCCAATTCCCTCGCGGTAGGCTGGGGGTCTGCCAAATTGGCTTCACCTGTGCGATTCCGGTGTTTGGTTCTGGGTACTTTGGTGGGGGGCAGCTCTGCTGAGCCGTGACATTGGTTTGCAGCGGCATGTGACTTGCTGTTTTGTAAACACTGCTTAACGAGCTCCGGGACAGCTTTATCAATGCCTTGCACTGACTGGAGCTGTGTCACCACATAGTGAGCCTCAGCAGACCACTCCCATATGATGCAGTCTCGCTTGGCCAGCTCCTTGTCCTGCTGGCTTCCAAGCCACTCCCCATCTCTCCCTAGAGCCGCAGCCGTCAGGAGGAGAAGGTGGTCGGTCAGGGCGAGCAGGCGTTCCCGCATTTTTAAATGAGCTGTGTTCACCAAAGCGTCTTCGATGACAGTTTTGACCAGCTGGACGTTTGCTATTATCTGATCTGCCTGTTTAACCATCCCACCGTCATCACCCTGGGTAAGCACAGGAGGCCGGGCCAATCTGAGGATGTTTTGGATGACCCTCACGTACTCCTGATTGGCGCTGATGAGGAGGCGCCGGAGTGATTTTGCTCTCATTGCAAGCTCTCGCTGGAGCAGCTCAGCACGGATGGACAAGTGTGTACAAGGCACCGGGGAGACGGACAGAATATCCACCACATGTAACAGAGCTTCCGTTAGCACTTTTACCTCCTCCCGGAGCCCTAGGATGTCATGCTGCATGCTGTGTTCAGCACAGGCGAGAGAGGACAGCCGGGCTGCCTCTTGAATTCTTAAAGAGTTCTCGGATACAGCTGCCAGGACTTCCCGCAAGCGCAGCCTGTGCTTCACTGCATTCTTTAATTGACTTAAGGACAAAACATCTCTGCCGATGAGCTGATCCACAGAGCTCAGGAGCACCTGTATGCTGACAGACCAGAGAAGACAGACCCCCTCGAGGCTACACTGGGGGGGGTGGACGTGATCCGAAGACAGCGCCTTTTCAGATAAATCCTTTGCCTTGGTCTGAGCACTTGTGAATTTTGCTTGAACCCGTGCAAACCTTTCCTGAATCTTAGGAACTATCATAAGCTCCTCTTCACAGTCTGTACATGCAACATCACCCGCTAGCTGTACAACTGTTGCTAATGTCTTCATTATCTCATCCAAAGTTTGTTTGCTCTTCAGACGGTCAGATGCATCTATAGTGCAAAATAACTGCTGGACTAGACTGTGCCAAGAGCCTGCCACGGCCACCAGGCACTGGTTAGTTTCATAAATCCTCTCTGATAACATAACAGCTGTTGGAAAAAGTCTGTCTGCTCTGAAAACTGGGTTTGGGCCTATCTCCCTAGCTAAGCTAATAACACGTGGTGTTAATAGAACTATCTTTCCGTATTGGGTCAGCTTTTCCAGCAGTGGCGATTTGACAATTGATAAGGCTTCCTGGGCAGCGTCCACACAACAGTTGGAAAGTTCAAGTAAAGCAAAGCAAGCAGTGTTTACTGCTGTAATGTCACGTTTCTCTATTGCAGTGATGAGTTCATTGATCACAGGGTGTAAATCCACTCTTCCCAGGTATAAGTTACCTGCTCTTGGAAGCGTCTCAAGAGGAGAGGCGGCTGATGAAAGCCCTTTCCTTAAAAATTCTTCTGCTAATTTGGTATTGTCATTAGTGCTTCGTTTTATGACGACATCTGGTGCACTGAGCTCTACGTGGTCCTGGGCTGAAAGGCAACCCATCTCTTTCGGAATGCCAAGCCTCCGAATTTGTTCCCGAAGTGGACTAAGAATATCTGGATGGTTAGCCCCATCCAACCCCTCTCTAATGTTTTGAGTGGAGTCCATCAGATGCTTTACTTTTTTTGAAAATGCGTTTCTGGTTTGTAGACAAGATATGCCTTCTAAACCGTGGCTTGTAGCCGTTCTCACTTCCAGAATGGAGATTTCCAGCTGCTTAACTAAAACTAACAAACCATTCTTGAAAATGGGATCTCTGACTTGATCCACATACCTGTTAGTAACTTGGACCACTCGAGCAGCTCGACTGGTCATATGAGTGGCATGCCATGAGAACCCTCCAGGGTTCTGACTCTCTAATTCTTGTTCACAACACTCTCTGTCATCAGCCATTTCCTGGATAGACAGATCAAGGAATTTGGGCAAGTTGATTGTCTCATCAATACATGCCAACAAGCTTTCTGTTGTCCACGCCCATCTTTGAGAGAAGGTTTGTGCTTGTTGCAAGATGCTCATCTTATTAGGGTCTTTGGTCATTTCCACGAGGAGCAGAGGCACTGTGGCAAGGAGTCCATTTAAACAATCTAAATAATTTTCAGTTTCCTTAATGATTCTGGTGTTGGTGCACCTGGCCAGAACAAAATTTGCCACTTTGAGCATCTGATGAGCATGACTGAAGAAGGCAGTAATAAAAGGCTGCAGTTTTCTTAGAAATCCATCTTCTCCTGAGGGAGAATACTGCACAGTGGGAGGTTCCAGTGCAGCCTCCATTAACTTTTGCAGGGGCTCGTTAATGTCTGTGAAAGTGTCCAGAACCTGAGACACAACAGCAGTGAGCACGGCTTGATCAAGAGTCTCCACCTCAGCTCTCATACTCTGACATTTCTCTTCTAGGATGCACTCTTGCTGGCTTTGAGCTGGTAATACCACCGTTATGCTTCCGTGGTTGGAAATACTTTTCCTGAGCATCAGGAGACGATGGCAGTGCTTTATCAGCTGCCGCTTATTGCTTGGCCTTGATGAGTTAGCTAAAAGCATGCAGTGGAAGACCACAGCTTCCACAAGGAAGTTGAATTCACCTTCAACAAGGTGAGCAGGGTTTGGGTTGGACAGGAGGCCCAGGAGCTGGCTTAGGCGCTGGGAAAAAAGCCCATTTCTCTCCAGTAGTTCTTGACTTCTGGTGGTGTTCCTCAGCAAGGAGATCAGTTCCTTTACGGTGCTATCCATCAAGTTGAAAACATAGGTTTTGGAATCATTCACGTGTTGATCCTGGGGGTGTTTCAAGTGACTGGACTTTGCAGTATGCAACATCGGGACACACTTCCTAAGGATCTGCAGCGTCTGGGCCAAACGCTTCCGAGGAGAAGACTCTTTGAGCACTTGGAGGCGTTGCTCTGTCAGATTGCTCAGCAAGAGCAAGGACTCTGAAAAGCCACGGAAAGCAGCCAGCAGGCCTGGCATGTCTCCTGCAAACTCAAGTGCGGTCAGGCAGTCCCGAAGCCAATGAGCAGCCTGGATAATTCTCCTCACTGAGGCATCATCTTCAAGCAGGAGGATCTAGTTGATAAACCAGAACAAACAGGTCACAGTAAAGGAACCATTGAACATTTCCCTGAGACCCATGTTACTCTTTTTGCAAGGAATGTACCTGTCCTTTTCAGCTTGTTGACTTTGTTTTTAAAATGGCTGTGTGGATTGATAACAGTGGGTGAGTTCTAGCTGAGTTTGAGAATAAAAGTGCTGCTGGTGAGGGATACAGTATTGATAGTGCTGAAAGCCCATGGTACAGAACTCTTGTGCCTTTACAAAGTCTTTGTTCCCCTATGAAGTACACCAGAGAACATCTGAGCAGTGATAAGCACAGCTTCTCCATGCTCCTGGGAGCGAGGGAAGTGTTACTAACCACACTTTACGGATGAGGAAATTGGGGTACAGCGTGTTTAAGTGACTTGTCTATGGTCACGCCAGAGATCTCCCAGAGCCACAACCCCCAAACTCCGTCTCTTCCTTGGCTTTTATATCTCTTTCTAAGAGAGACGGAGCAAAGCTCTTATATTTCAATAGGTTTTGTGGGAAAAAAGTTTCAAAGCAAAGAGATGATTGAAAACTTATGACTTTTAGGAGGGTGACTCTAGACACCCAAGCAACTGGACACCATATTTTGCTCATAGTTCTAGCTGTGGGGGCAAGGAAGTACAGTGTAACTGAGCAGCTAGAGCATTGGAATAAGATCTATCCCTGACCTAGACCTTGGAAGCTTGAGCAAAACACTTCACCTCATTGCCTCAGCCATAGATGGGAGATATGGACACGGCCCCTCCTTGTAGCGTGCACTGAGATTTGCTGGTGAAAAAGGCCATGTAAGAACCGCAACATCCTCCACACACATCCCACCCCGGGAAATGCAGGCTAGGCCGCTAACCCTGGACAGAGCCCCTTGCCTGAGAAGGCGGAGCTGCTGGAAGGGGAGCAGTGTCTTAATAGCACAGAATGACACACCTGCATCGCACTCACCTTTACAGTGTCTACTAAGACTCTCTTTGCTGAATCAATCAGCTCCTCCTGATGGTTCTGAGCGTCTGGCTGAATGCGGAGTTTCTGGGCCACCAATAAGATGCTCTTTCCAGCCACGAGGAGAGTTTCTGAGGCTGGCAGCATCTCCCCAGCCAGCAGCTCATCGTTGGACTCCTCAGCCAGCCTGACGAAAGAACACTGACCTCAGGTAGGCAAGGTCACACGAATGCCATTAAGGAAAGGTATGGATGTGAGCCAGCACTGGCATGAGACTGGGATGCTGGCTCCAAGGAGAGCCACGCAACCTGAACAGGCAAGGATACAACTAGCTGCTCCTATGTGAACTGAACTCCCTGGAGAATAAGCAGGTGTAGGTCAGGGGAGGAGGGGGAAGGGTTGCACTTTCCCTTAATTAAATGCTCTGGTTATTAAACAGCAGCCACACGCAAGACAGCCTCATTAGTCTGGTTGGGGGTAGAATGGAGCTGCTGTCCAATCCCAGTAAGAGGAGAAGCCCCCACACACGTGCCTGTTCCCCATCCCATACTAATTCTTTTACCATGATCTCTACTGGGTGGTCAAACAACCATGAAGGTATCTCTACAGTTAGTAAAGCAGGGGCCAGGAATTACAGCAGGAGTTTAAAATCAGACGTTTTCCAGAAAAGCAATAGACTAAGCCACAATAGGGTTACAGACAAAAATTAAAAACAATACAGACTATACCTAGAGGATGAGCCACTTTAAATCAAAACTCAGGGAACCAGCATGCCTGGAACAAACGGATACAAGTAGAGAAATGTATCCTGTAGGTGATCCTGCTACTCCACCCCCTGTGATACAGGTACGTGCATGAAGGGAAATTGGTTTTGCCCTCTTTGGAACTCAGTATTACCTTCTTGCAACATAAGCAAGTTCTTCAGTAGCTTTGGCTAATTCTTCAGCAGGTTTTTCTAAATCGGCCAGGCGTTCGCTGTTCACCCCTTCCCACTCCACTGCTATCATTAAATGACAAAGTTGAGCTGCCATGGGTGAGATGACTCGCTCAATGGTTTTGTTGGAGGTGATCGTGCTGATGTCATACAGATAAAACGGTTCCATTGCTGCTTGGCTACAAACGGAAGATACACAATTATTCATCCCCACAACACCATGATATTAACGAACGCCACCGTGCACTGACTTTGCACCGTCAGTCCAAAGAACCTTGGGACTATTCATGAATGTAGCCTACAGCACCTTTGCATTATTCCCAATTTTGCTGCAACCTGTTTCTTTAATCAGAAATGGGGTGTGCAAGAGGCACAGAGGCCAGAGAGTCCATTTAGCCATGGACTGCCTTGGTGGGGGCTAGGATGCAGTGAGCCTCACTCTGGTATGAAAGAGGGAAGACCAGAGGCTAGTCACAGGAGTTTGAGGAGAAACCCAGGAAAGGGGCAGTAAGGGCTAGGGGGGAGGAAAGACCAGAGGTGCTGGAGGAGGATCGCTGGTTTGGAAGCTAATGTAGAGGGCAGTTCTAGGTTCCCCTACGTGCCACTGCAGTCGTGGCCCACTGTGGTGGCCTATCTTGGAATTGCTGGGAGGTGCTTTGGAAGGAGACTGATACCACCCCAGGGTGGGGGGAACTTGATTGTGACCTAATGGGAAGGTTACGCCATGAAGAGGAAAGTGCAGTTGTTCCAGGAGTACAAGAGCAATTGATGGGATGACAGATTGATCAGCCACACCCAGGGGCGTCCGACCATGTGGAGAGGCAATTCCCAGATGGGCCACTAGGTGGTGCCAGAGGGACAAGAGCTCGCCCCCTGTTGCAGATTGAGTCTTGGGTATGTGGCATAATGAAGTATTTGGCGGGTCTGATGCACACCACTGACATAAGTACCCATTAATTTCACTCGTCGTCGTAGGGAAATCCGCGGGGGATTTAAATATCCCCCGCGGCATTTAAATAAAAATGTCCGCCGCTTTTTTCCGGCTTTTAAAAAAGCCGGAAAAGAGCGTCTAGACTGGCCCCGATCCTCCGGAAAAAGTGCCCTTTTCCGGAGGCTCTTATTCCTATTTCAAAGTAGGAATAAGAGCCTCCGGAAAAGGGCGCTTTTTCCGGAGGATCGGGGCCAGTCTAGACGCTCTTTTCCGGCTTTTTTAAAAGCCGGAAAAAAGCGGCGGACATTTTTATTTAAATGCCGCGGGGGATATTTAAATCCCCCGCGGATTTCCCTACGACGACTAGTGAAATTTACATGCCCCTTCCGGAAAAGGGGCCAGTGTAGACGTAGCCAGAGTGAATTTGGCCCAGCATGTTAACATCACTCCTCATTAGTCAAAAGAACTCAGATGAAACAGGAACCAACTTAATCCACCATTCAAAATTCAAATGTAAGCCTAGCCAACCCTTGGAGGGTTGTACTGTTTCCCCTTGCTTAGCTTCCATTTTCCTGTGCTTCTGCATTTCCTACTGCCAGCCCAGTCTAGAGATGGAAAAGGTCAGATGCTTCCACATCCTCTGATCCTGCAGTCTTACCAGCTTAACCTGACACAGGTGCTCTAAAAAATCTTGTGTGAAACCCTAGCTATGCTCAGGGGGGGTTCCAGCTTATTTCTGCAGTCTCCGGCTTCCTCTCCTCCTAATTTCATCACAAGCCATCCAAACCAAGCTTCTGCATGGAGTCAAGTGCTCCAGTGACTGGCCAGAGTTAGAATTTGCACTGAGAACTTTGCAATTAGCTAAGATAATTGGGGAAAATATTCATCAGCTACCTGCCTTGTGGTTCCAGACCACCTCTCACTGACCCCCAAAAAACTATATTCATGAATTTTGCATATACTGGTTGCATATAGACAGGCATTTGCACAGGTGAATTGGATAGTTAGGTGTTCATTTACCTAATCTGTGTGTACAAAGATTAGTTTTGAATGTGGTTCTAAGTGATCATTTAAAAAAGCTCACTCTTGGAGTCTGTTTCAATAGAAATAAAATAATTGTCTATTTAAATAGAGGTTATTTGACCTTCCCCTTTCCCCAAAAATCTGCAAAAACACCACGTGCTTTAAATAACTGAATAGCAAACTGAAATTCACAGATAGATTAGAAATATAATTCTTAAAATAAACATGTTATGTGGTACAGATTGAACCTCTCTAGTCCGACACACTCTGGTCTGGCAACATCTGTGGTCCGGCAGGATTTGAGTGAGCCAGATGTCCACTTTTCATGGGTGCGGCCAAGTTTCTCACAATCCCATAAAGTTTGTTTTCAGACACCAGCCTGGCTCTTGGTGTTCTGTGCTGTTATTTAACTCTAATTTACCCCTCAGTGTCTTCTCAGAGCCCAATGAGCAGTGGAAGTGTTGGTGATGTTGCTAACCAAAATTGACCTCTCATGGTTTGGTAAATTCTCTGGTTCAGCACCAGACAGGTCCTGAGACAGGTGCCAGACAAGAGATTCAGCCTGTATGGAGAAAGTGCTTGTTGTATTGTGCACCACAGATCATCAACAACAGTGTCTGCACTGAGCCAGATACATTAAACCACATTGTGTGGCAATGAAGCTACCGTGGTAATGGCACTGTTTTTTGATAGTGCTCTCAATAATATGCCATATGCTATACAGTTAAAATGTTTTTAATGCAGCTTAATGCAATTTGCTTATCTCAGGTGATCTTACCATGTGAACACCTTTCCATTGTGAATTATAAAACCAAGAAAGCTATGACAAGGGCAAGAACCACATCAAACACAATACCCACCTGAATGCTCTCTCTCAAAAATTAAAGGTGATGAGACACCTGGGAGACCTTGCTGTTACCATCCAGCCCCACAATTCACTTCTGCACATATGATTGACAGAAAATCTTAAATGTCACTTTACCTTGGGTGAAATGTGCTTCCACCGGTTCTCCAATTGCAGTTTAATTAAGGTAGCAAGCAAAAATTCAATGCACGGTGTATACTTGTTTACAAGTAATGTGAAGCTACCACCGTGGTGTGGTCTCATAGCAACAGGCAGTCAGCTGAGGGAGATGCTGACATCAGAGGCAGTAGTGGGAACTAGCCCACCTACCTATTTTAAGACTGAGCAAGTAGAAGCTCCACAGCCCCCAGCAATGATCACAGATCAATAGCGGGAAAACAGCGACTTGTTCCTATTCAATTCCCCTCTTCTGTGTGCGAGAACCCTGCTTCTAAATGCACAGGGGACAATGTCCTAATTGATAAATGCAACCCAATTCCTATTGTGGCTGGTGTAACTACTCACTGCACTGCTCTGAGACCAGTGGTGCAGGGAGCTCTCATGAGCCCCCACCTGGGGGATGCCAGCCCATGTCAAGGGAGAGGGCCAGGAGCCCTGTGGAGTGATGGCTGCCTGTCTGCAGAGGTGTTCCTTGGCCAGTTAGATGGAAAGGTCCTGAGCTGTGCACAGCCCCACCTTGCAACAACCAGCGGAGGCTGAACTCAGATGAGACCAAGGTTTATTCTTTTCTTTTCCCCTTCTTTTCAGTTGACCCTTGACTACAGGCAGGTGAGAGGCCCACTTCCCTTGGCACTCCCCTGGTAAGTACTCAGCGCATTCACTGAGCAATGCAACATACTGGTGCCTTGAGCAATGCAACATACTGGTTTGACTGTGGCTTTGTACACCTATGTAGTAAGGAAACATTCAAATCTTTCAGCTGCTCAGTATATTTTGAAACCTGCTAACAAATTTTCAGGCTGTTCCTGAGAGAAATCTGTTTAGCTGGTGGTGAGGGTGTGTGCTAACATTAACATCTCTATCACTATTAACTGTTTAGTTCAGGATACAGGCACTGGCCTGGCTAGGGGTATGTTAATTGTTGGGAATCTGTCTGGGGAAAAGGGGGCGGAGAGCACTATCCCTGAGGGTATGTCTACACTACAGCGTTAATTCAAGTTAACTTAATTCAAAATAGTTAATTCAAATTAAGCTAATTCAAAATAATGCATCTATACACAAAAACTTTCGAAATAGCATTTTGCTGTTTTGAAATAGCGCATCCACACTGAATGGACCCTGAACTGAAGTTAAGGCTGTCCGGAACAAGTGCCGGCAGGGCATCAAGTTAGGACTTAGTGTGTGGGGCTGTTGCCTGAGGCTAACTGAACTCCGTGCTTAAAGGGACCCTACCCCAATCCGGACAGACAGTTCTCAGGGTTCCCCGCTTGCTTGTCTACCTTGTTGAGGGACAACAAAGCAGTCCTGTCTTAGAGTGCCCGCACTTGGGACACCACAGCACTCTGCCACATGGAACCAGAGCTGCCCCTGGACACGCTGGTGTGTCTTGTGGGGTCATTGCCATCAGCCCGGCTGCACTTGCTGCAGGCTGCCATCTGGGAGGTCTATCAGGGGGCTGTCAGGATCCAGGAGGCCCTGCAGGACAACATCCATGCCAGGAGCCCTCAGAGCCACCCTTGTCCTCCCCACCGGGGGCTCGTGCCCCATTCCTCCCTCACATCCTTCCACTTACCCCTCCCTAGCCCCCCTTCCTGATGTCAAACAAAAAACATGTACAGTAAACTTCCGATAATCCGGCACCTTTAGGACCCAGGGGGTGCCGGATTATCAAATATGCCGAACTATTGGAGGGGGGCGGGGCTATGAGGAGTCTGGGGTGGAGTGGGGGGAATGTGCCCCTCGGTGCTGTGGGAACCAACCGGGCAGCACCCTAGCTGTTCTGCCCCAGGCATCCCCAAGTCAGATGCTGCTGAAACTGATTAGCGCATCAGCCGCTGCTGAAACTGATCAGTTTCAACCGCGGCTGAATCTGGACGCCAGTTCTGACTTACATACAGATTCAACTTAAGAAACCCAGGCGTCCCCAAGTCAGCTGCTGCTGAAACTGATCAGCGGCTGATTCCAGGAAGCCTGGTCAGTTTCAGCAGCGGCTGAACTGGGGAAGCCAGGGGCAGAGCAGCTCCAATTGTCCAGCACTTCCGGGTTCCAGATGGTGCCGGACCATCAGGAGTGCCGGACCATTGGATGCTGGACCACTGAAGTTTTACTGTATGTTCAAAATTAGAAACTGGGTTTATTGAACAAAACTGGGGGTATGAACCTCTGGTGAGTCTGGGAAAAGGTAGGAGAGGAGAAGAGGGTGGGAGCGGGCGGGAGGGGGGGGGGGAACCTAGGAGGAGGGAGCTGGAAGGGAGGAGCAAGGGGAAGAAGGGGGAGGGGAAGCTCAGGGTTGGGGGTCTTGCCAGACCAACTTGATTGTCATGCAAATCTGCTCCTGGGTTTGCATGTGGCCTTTGGTGGTCAGGCTGGCAGCTATCCTCCCATAGACGGCTGCATTCCTCCATCTAGTGCAGAGATCATGGAGGTTGGGAGCACCCCCCCCCCAAACCCTAAAAAAGGCC